AAACTTGTTAAGTAACATCTGCCCTAAATTTCTTTATCAACATCCCGAAGCCGTATAAAGTGTCATCACATACCATGTAAGGCTAATGTTGTCAAACATTATCTAGCACATCGCAGATTTGTTACAAGGCTGAAATCAGCTACTTGTTCAACTTGTCCTGTTCCACATTAAATAGTGCAGCAGTTACATTCTGGAGCCGTTTTTCCAACCTCTCGTTATCTTTTAGGCTGTTTTTGTTACTTTGTCTTTAAAACTGATATATGCAAATTACCTCTGTTATGATTGGCTGCCTGGTCTTGTACCTTCCTTCAAGGTACCTTCCTACATTCCTTCAAAGTGAATGGGCGGAGCTAAGCTGCTATGTCTAGTGTCTGGTGTAGATAGTGTAAATAAGAGGTGTAAATATGTGAAATATTTGTTCATCTCCTAAGCAGGGGGTGCTGGAGCCTATCCCAGCACTCTTTAGATGGAAGGCAGGAAACACTCTGGACAGGTCACCAGTCCATTGCAGGGCAGACATACACATTCACAATGAGGGGCAATTTAGTATCTCCAATTTACTTGACCGGATGACTTTGGACGGTGGGAGGAAACCCATGCAGAGAGGGGGAGCACATGCAGACTACAAACAGAAAGGACCCTGGTTGCCCAGCTGGGGAATTGAACCCAGACCCTTTTTGCTGTGAGGTGACAGGGCTACTCCCTGTGCCACCCAGTATCACAAAAACCACTGCATATGTGGACTTTTTAGTATGTTTGGAAGTTTTCACAATGTTTACCTACAGGATTAAACTCTTATTTCCAAAAAGTGAGGAAAATATGGGCCTTTTAAGTAATCAAACCGACTGCTTTACATGGTTTCTGACACTACAGTATACTGTTATCTATACAAATGCTGGAGATTTTAAGGGGGAAAAACACATTCCAAAAAACTGACAAAATATCATTAGCATGATGCCAAGAAAACAGCGGACATGAATTCATTAATTCATATAATAACTAATGAGTTTCCACATAGTGCATTTTATATGGGCAGTTTTGCATAAAACTGAAAATGGTTAAATGAAATGCATGCTGGTCCTGGTCTTGCAGAAGCCCTGCGCTGCATTAAACCACAGTCTCGAGTCAATGGTTAATGAGCAAAGTGTATGTGAGCTGAATCATGTTTGCAAAAGCAGGGAAAGCACTAAACTGTGCAGTGTAAGTACAGTCCAGGAAATGCTGACCCATGCTGATTTTAGCATTCATTTGAATTGCATATATAATCCATTTCATATTACCAAGTTAAAGGGGAATTCCATCTAATTTTTAAAGTTTCTCTATAATTCAGTCATTGAGACGAATACAAAATCATTCAGAGTGGTTTGAGTTGTGAAACGGTTAATTGTAGAGAAGCTTATGGATTCATTTCTTTACAGTGGTGGGGATAGGAACCAGGGGTCACAATGTCTAGAACACAAATATAGCTGTTTTATTTACTATCCAAAATAACCAGTGAACCCATCTGAGTTATGTTATGTTGATCATGTGAAAAGTTGTAAATCTAAAAAATAAAAATAAATAAAAAAAAAAATCGAAATCTAAAAAAGTCCCCTTATTTTGCAGTACAGTGCCCTGCATGGGTCCCTCCGCTAGGAATAGATCAAAAAACATGTTTTAGGCAAAAATCTCATCTCAAAACTGTCATAGAGTAATGTCTCTGGCATCAGGCAGCATATTCAAAATCATTTCATGTAGTAATTGTCTGTGATGGAGCTTTTAGAGGCATTAAACTGTACAGACGTCTGGTTCCCATCACCACCACTGTGAATAATTTTGACTGTATGTTTCTCTAGAACAAAGCATTTCACATCAAACCACTCTGAATGACTTTGTTTACATCTTAAGATTTAATTCTGCTGTAATTTTCAAAAAAATCAGTGTAACTCCACTTTAATAACAATAAAATCTTGTAGTGTGCAAAGGACAAAATTTCCATTTCAGTGACCCTTTAATGCAGTGTACTGCAGTGTGTTAGGCCTGTGTTACAGAACGAGGACACTGGCAGCACAAATAGCATGTAATGCTTTTGCCATCTGTCAAGCACTGAAAACACAAATAAACCCATCTCCGAAGTGAAGCGCTGAGTGACCTGTGCGGAGACATTGCGGGCTGTTTTGTTCCCGTGCTGAAGCAGATGCTATGGTGACTGCTCTGAGGAGTGGGTGAGGGCACCAGCTCTTCAGTCACGCTTCCAGCCAGAGCAGCAGGCAGACTCCAACACTGCGCTGCAAAAAAGAGGCGTTTGAGAAGAGTGTTTATTCTCCCCCTTTGAGTTTGTCAGCGCAAGACTCCACGCGTCACCTTGTGTAGGATCTGAACTGAAGCCAGTGATAACTTTCAGACACATCACAAACTCGGAAGCAGCGCAGGGTGCAGCTGCACACTCTCTGAGGAACATTTCTCATCAGCTTGAAAAGGCAGCTTTAAAGCTAGTTCAAAATCAATACTGAAAAGTTGAAGAAAGACAGAATCCTTTTTACACTCGCCATCTACTTTATTAGAAACACCTACACTCTAAAAAATAAAGGTGCCTGAAAGGATTCTTTAAGGAATGCCATAGAACCACTGATTTTGGTCCCATCTCCACGGACGGTTCCTCACAGAAATGTTGGTGTAAATGATATTAGTGTGAGTCTCAGTGCCTTTTTATAGTTTAAAGGACACGCATAATGTAAAGATTCAATACCAGGCTGCCCAAAGTGTGGCCTGCAGGACAAAGCTGGCATGTCAGGACACTTGATTTGGCCCACCAGAAGGTACCCAAACCCCACCCCCTTAAACCAGTGATAGAACAAACATATTTTTAGTAAATTTATATTTTGTTTTATATTGTTTTTTGGGCCAGTCAAGTTCTTCCACATCAAACTCACCCAGCCATGCCTTTATGGACCTTGCTTTGTGAGCCCCTGAAAAACAACCCCATAGCATTATCCCTCCTCCACCAAACTTTACAGCTGGCACAGTGCAGTCAGACAGGAAGCAGCTTGCCATATATTTATACACCGATCAGGCATAACATTATGACCATCTCCTTGTTTCTATGCTCATTGTCCATTTTATCAGCTCCACTTACTATATAGGTGCACTTTGTAGTTCTACAATTACAGACTGTAGTCCATCTGTTTCTCTGTATACCTTGTTAGCCCCCTTTCATCCTGTTCTTCAGTGGTCAGGAGCGTCTGAGCAGGTATCATTTGAGTCACCTCAGCACTGCAGTGACACTGACGTGGTGGAGGCGTATTTGTGTGTGTTGTGCTGGTACAAGTGGATCAGACACTGTAATTGCAGACCTACAAAGCGCCCCTATATGGTAAGTGGAGCTGATGAAATAGACAAAGACTGATAACTAACATTAAGATAACATAAAGGATAAGTGGTCACAGGAAACAGTTGATGCCTTGAGTTGAGGCAGAAAGCAGAAAACGAACAGATCAATGGCAAACTGATTTAGACCCTTGTGCTCAAACCATGACCCTAACATACAGCACTTACTCGCATCATTCTAGAACGTATGTCCAAGACGGATTATGGACAAGGTGAGTTGATATCATCTATGCTTGCCTAAGCACACACTCTGTAGTACTTCCCAAAAGGAAAAAAAGTGATATAATAAATATAAAACATGTATACCTGTGTAAAGCTGCTTCACTCTGTGCTGCTCTCAAACTTTTCCCGTTTCTGAGGAGGCCATAAGTCAATTTCAGAGCAGGTAAACATCCTGAATTATTCATTTCTTTGATTGCTATAGTTGAGGACGCACTGCCATTTCAGGCTTTCCAGAAGTTAGCCCCAGAAAAGCACCTGAAAATATACACTGTACAACTTCACAACACAACACAGGACCGTTTAAGCATGCATTGTATATACGGTCACCTCCATAAAGCTGAGAGTAAACCTGACACGGGAAGGAGCGGTCAGAGTGTTCTTCTTCACAGCACAACGGACTTTCATGTAAAAACAAACAAACAAAAAAAAGAACTCCCACTTACATCTTAGTAGAACGTATCTTTTTTTTGTTTTTTTGTTTTTTTTTACATACTTGTGCTTGGACCAGGTGCCACAATGTCTACAGTGCAATACAGACACCTCATTTACTGTCCAAAATGACCAGTGAAGTTTCAGGCTCACTACTGTAAAATGATGCCTATGACATCAGGCGGTATATTTATAACCAATTTTTGAATAGAATTCTGGGAGGGAGCTTTCAGAGTCATTACACGCTTTGCGTGTCTGGTTCCTTTCACTACCACTATGAACAATTCTGACTTGGTAAGTTTCTCTAGAACAGCGTTAACAACTGAATTATGCAGAAATATCGGTGACATTTACTTATTTCAATATTTAAAAGTTTTTTCTTGGGTTCTTTAGATGATTTTTCTTTCTCCTACTTCTCCTAATGCAATGTAATCAGCATCCGTTTCCTATTCTGCTATCTTGGCTTGAAACAAAAACACAATCAATAATTCAGCTTGCCGCGTATGGTAAGGTCACGCACGTCACGAGCCACTGAGCTACCACGGCAGCCTGGCTTATAAACCAATAGCCAGGCCTACATTGGCTGCCTGCAGAAATCCCGCTTTACTTTGTCACCTTGGTCTAAATTATGTATGACGTGGGGAGCGGGGGCATAATTTCTAGGTCACCCCGGTGTAAGAATGCACTTAACTCCTGAGCCGAAGTCTCCAGGTGCCTTTGCGTGTTTGGACCCCGAATCTGTGGAAGTTTGTTGCTTTCACTTTTACATATTAAAGTAATATGAAAAGCACGAGCTGCTACTGCACTTCTAAAGTTTGGCAACGAGAACCTCAATACCAGCAAAAGACAAAACACTAGCATGCTGCACGTTTTTAAAACAGTGGCTCCTGATGGCAGAGCTGGGTTTAAAACAATAAAGACAAAGAATGAATAGAAATCACACTTTGAATTTTATTGTATCAAAACAAGAAGTTCTATTGAGTCATAGAAAGAGCCATCGCTTACAGAACACACTGAGGTTATGACCCAGTTGTAGCAGTTTGTGTTATTATAAAATAACACATCCCTAACATTTCAAGGGTGTATCATAAAATATTGAAGAACTTTTCTTTATAAATGGAACTACAAAACCGCTCACAAACAACAACAACAACAACAAAAAGAGTGCTGCATGACTTGGTTTGGAGTACTTCACTGCAGCATAATGTTCTTTTAGGTAAAAAGCTGTGAAACTAACGGGGGGAAAAATAAGTAGGACACAAGTTTGTGCAAGTTTGGGAAACTATAGATGTGAGCGCAGCACAAACGTATGCCTGGAGTTAATGTTTACTGATGAGAGCGAGTACGAGTCCTTCCCAGTGAAGCAGCACACCCAGTAAACCAAGGGCTTGGACAGCTACTGAGATGTAATGCAAGAAAAAAAGGATCTTTCTCTAAGTTCAGCGTACAGAAAAAGATTTCTGCATCCCATTTCTTGTGTCCAACTGTTGATTACAGTCCAGCAGGTAGTGTGACCGCTCCTGTAGGGTGTACTTCCTTGCGTTCTGGGCCACCTCACTGCCTGCATGTGTCGTGAAAGGCCTCAAGGGTGCGGAAGTCCCTCCAGGTGGGCGGGAGGCCGTCCTGCAGGAATTTGCCACAGCGCTGACACGGAGTTTGGAAAAGCTTGATGTAGCTCCTGAGCCACGTCTGTCAGAGAGAGATGTAAAACAGATCAAAACCACTTCATAAAAAACAAACCCATTTGGTCAAATTTCTCAAGGCTACAAGTATTAGCTAGCAAGGTTTGATTATTGATTATAAATAAACAATGTAAAAGTAAATAAAAGCACTCTATGATGTTCAAATGATAACAGAGGAGAACTGTGACTTAATTTGGGCCATACATGTCAAAACTCAGTCAAAACTAGGAAAAAACCACCTCTGCTGCAATGCTAGTTTCTGCTAGTGCTCCTATGGAGTTCCACCAGTACATTCGCGCTAAGTGCGATTCAGGTATGCATTTATTTGGCCGTTCTTGATAAAAATCCTACATCTGTAGCTTGTAAAAGCCATTCTATGTTTTATAGCCTGTGACAGACATATTAACATATATTTATTTATTTATTTTTACCACTTGCAGTCAGTTACGTATTTAAGTCTACCAGAAGGCCTAGAGTTCTGCTTCTCTCACAAAATTGGTCCCAGCCATTAGAAATCAACATGATTGGTTGATTTCATGTCAGTTCATTAATATATTAGTGGTTAACCCGACACATCAGTCCTAGCCAATGGGAGAGCTAGCTTGGCTGTATTTACCTAGATATCCTGGGAAAGAAATTCTGACTGGGCATTTTTTTGGGGGCCTTTGGGAGTTTAGCCCTTTTGTTTCCAACCAAAACGATAAAATAAGAGAAAATTGTATTACTAAAATACTTGCGGAATTTAAACACAACAAACATAACGGTTAAAAAGCACGGAAGTAAAAGTGACAGCTGTCATTTATCAGCTTTCATTTCACAGAAATAAGCCGGGGACACTGTACAGTATATAGGGCCATTTAGACAGATTGCAATATGCAAGAAAAAGTGATGATAAAAGAAAAAACTCATTGTCAAACATGATACCAGCAAAAAAGTCGATTAGATGACATTTAATACAATCAAGCACTTAACATCCTATCATGCTCTGTGGCATGTATACAAATTCTGAGCAGACCCTAATTTGGATCAAGATGGCAAGAAGAAAAGTGACTATGAAAGAGGGTTCATTACTGGGGCATGGATGGCAGAAGCGTCTGTCACCAAGACTGCTCAACTGGCTAGCGTTTCAATAGGAACAGTGATTAAAATGACATCTGCAATTAAATCTACAGGAAGGACTTCAATAAGCAGGGCTGGAAATTATGGGTGAACACCTGTCGGAGATTTTGAACCAATGTGTTAGACAGTGCTCTACATGGTATTTCTTTGGGAGAATAGTATTCCATCCCTGCCGTTTAGGTCCAGAGAGTTGTAGAGTCTATGCCAAGAAGCTGTTCTGATGGCTCGGGACACTTTTTACGGATTTTCACCCATCTGTATTTGACTAGGAATGGGAAGCAACTGCCAGGGGAAATACTGAAATTAAAAAACTACAAAAAAAAGAAAGTAAAACAGACTAAAAGTTCTGTTCTAGATCAGACCCATGCATATTTACAATCAGCTCATTTTGTCCATTAGAGGACTAAATCCAAATACCAACTCCAGATGAACACTCTTAACTCAGAACTTCCCGGTCAGAGAAACACCTTTACACTTGACTGGCTGGCCTCATTGCATTGGCATGAGCAGTATGAGCATAGTAGGGGGCCTGGGGTCCACACAGCAGGCCGGGGAGCACACACAAAGACACACTAACGCACCACTGATTTGGAGCAGGTGTGCTTTAGACGCTCACCTCTCTGTCCGGCTTCACTGACCCTCACAGCCCACTGAGTATTTACTCTCCCCTGTCAGCACCCATTGACTGGCTCCGGTCCCCCACTGGCCCCAAGCCTGGCCTGCCTGCTCACTGAGCTAAAAATAGTCTTTCTAGCATAACTAGAGCAGTTTGAGGGAAGAAGTGCTGCTGGACAAAGCAGCTGCTGTGAATATACGCACTCAAAAACGAATACCGGCTGTTGCAACTTGATCCAAACATGTGAATCCAATATAACATCAATGTAACACCAAAACCGCAGAACTTTTCTCCATGTCTTTGCATGTTTTCACTATGTGAAAACAGCTGCTGCCTTTTACATTATGTAAATACTTTATAATGAATAAAACTGTCCAAAGTAACTTGTTACACTAAGGCAGGAGTCGACAACCCAAACGTTAAAAAGAGCCATTTTGTCCTTTCAAAAAAATCAAAGCTAAAAATATAAACGACTTACTCTGCTCTGCTTTAAGCTTTAGCTCAGCTGTAGCCGCTTTTCTTGCATCTTCAGCCGGAAACTTTTCCGCAGAAGTAAAATAGTTTCTTGTAAAATGTCTCTTAACGTTCGACTTTTTACAAGGCTGAAGTCGCTTCTTCTTCGCCAACTTCTTGTTTGAATTTTATCTTAAATAGTGCCCGAGGCACCAGAATGTAACTGCTGCACAATTTAAGGTGGAACGGGAAAATTTGAACAAGAAACTGACTTTGGCTTCATGACTTTTTAGTGTTTGACAGTTTCTCGTTGCAGATTAAACGTATCAGGAAACCAGCTGACTGCTTATGAATGCATATAAGTCTATTAGTCTCCAAATTATCGCTGTTCATCTTAAATCTTTCTCTTTGCCGTTTCGTTAGCTACTAGCTAGGGGAGACTGTTGTCTGTGCTGCTATGGTGACCAGCAGTCTGCACGCCAACTTTCAGGGTTAAAGGGTGAGTTAGCAGTTCTACATTAACTCTTTAACTCATTAAGTTTAAGACCATTTACTGTTAAACTGTGTTGAACGATCAGCAGAGCTTTATTTTACTGTAAAGGTGGATTATTTAATTTATACCTACAAATCTAATTCTGCTGTGGAGCCACAACAGAGAAGTAAAAGAGCTGTATGTGGCTCCGGAGCCACATGTTGCCGACCCTTGCATTAAGGAGTGGTAGACATTTACATTGTCCAGTGTACCTGGCCACAACATTTCACATTTTGGCCACTAAAAATGAAGAGCTTGTGGCTCTAGTGGCTCCTTGTCTTGGAGATTTTTATTTGCGTTCTTGTTTTCCTTTAACAAACCTGTTGGCTGGATAGAATTCTTTAACCACTGCTTAAGTGACAGCGTGGTGACCGGGGGGCCCCTCCTACTGAACTGGCCTGCTTGCTGTCACAGATGCTGTTCCATTGGCTGACATTTGCTAATACCACTTTATGAAATAAGGTGTTAAATGCCTGCTGTTACACCCCTAGGCCATCACTGCAGTAGCCAAACAGCACTTAAAGCTTTTTTTCTGTTAACACTGAAAGAAATAGCATCACTGAGTCAGCAGAAAACAGGCTAAAATAAGGTGTGTGTGCTGCTGCGAGTCGCCCTGTAAAGCCTGAAATAATCATTTAAAAGTGAGAGACGTCAGGTTTTTACATGCACATGTACAGGCTTTAATGAAATAACCTAGACTGGATGATGTCAGAGTGGGTCAGATCAGCATGGGTGACCACCATAGTCACCAGAATGGCAAAATTCTCATTAATGTAAATTTTTAATAAATATGTCCTGCTTGTTGGTACAGAAGCATGCTTGTTTATTCTAATTACAATGTATATACGATGAGCGTGTCTACAATTCTGGACAAGATTTTGGCCACAAGGTTCTGACCTCTGCCTACCCCTGCACTAATGTCCATTAGGTGAAGTAAAGTTTTTTCCTTCTTCTTCCTTCTAATATTTCAGAGAAAATGCTTTGACAGTCATAATAAATAACTGACTACACTGCAAAAAAAATGTTTCTTGTCAAGTAAAATTATCTTAAATATAGTCAAGAAATCTAATATTTCTCCTGTTGAGTTTGTTGTAAGCTTAATTTAAAGTTTTTTAACTTCTTTCTGGACATTTTTTACTTGTTTTAAATAATTTTATCAAGTTAAATTATCTCATTAAATTGGCAGATAATTTTGCTTGTTTTAAGAAATGTGCCTGGAACCAGCAAAATTATCTGCCAGCATAGTGAGATAATTTTACTTAATAAAATGACCTAAAACAAGGAAAAGAATTCTGGAAATAAGCTACATTGTTAAAAATAAAGGTTCTATGCAGGTAAATTTCTTTGTGTATCAAGGTACAAACAATATAAATGTTCCCTCAAAGGTACAGCAGTGGTTTTAAGGTCCAATTGTGAACCTTAAATAAGTTTTATCAGGTTTCATAACCGAATGTTTTAAAACAGAACAATAAAGTAAAAAGGCTGGAGATGAGGCGGGGCGTGTGGAGTCAACACAACTTTCAATTTCAATGGATTATGGAACAGTTAAATTCCATGACTAAAGGTAGTGAGATGTACCCTTGAGGGCACCACCCCAGTGACAGTGATAGTTTACTACCTTTCTTCTGGGAGTGCACAACCATCTCAAAGTGGGAAATGTTAGATATGTTGACTAGATTTCAGATCATTACACTTGATCTTTACTCCACACAGATGATTGGCCAATTTATTATATTTATTTTAGCCAATCTGTGTTGCAATTTTATGACATAAATAACGTAAGGCTTGCAAATGTTGTTGCATAATTATGCATGACTCATTTGCTAAATAGCAAGTTTCTTTATATGCTTAATCCAGCACTTTCATTTGATTCATGTTATTTAAGTAGGCAACTGATTTTTTATTTAAGAATTTATGGCTCATTATAGAGCAAATATTGTTATTTATGACTTTCTCTAATAAAAAGTACTAGAACAGTGCTACTGTGTTTTGTGCTCATTTAACCCACATAGTGAGGTTAAAAAAGGCTAATAAAAAACAGCCATAAATAAATAAGTATATAAAAATAGCCAATCAGCCATCGTTCTGACTGTAAAGAAATCAGAACTGGCCTCAAACATTCCTGATTGGAGCATCTCTACTATTTAAAACTTTTCCAGCATGTTTAATAGAGCTTATGTAATCAGTAGGTTGCTTTTTTGTTTGATCCTCTGTTAAGATCACAGTTCCTCTGACGTCAGCTGCCTAATCCAGTCCTACACTTTTCCCATGCACTGCACTTTTTTCC